CTGTTTATTCGGGTAAGTGTTTATCAAGTCATATTCCGTTGCCGGATGAATATGACGAGGACCAAAAATCTTACCTGGTAAGAGCGAAGGTAAAGACCGAAAGTCTTATCTGGTAAGTGATGTCGACGACTTTTACTAAGGTTAGCGTTTATTGGGTAAATTGTTACATACAATGTCGTTTTGGTAAACTAAAATTATTCCCCATAAGTAAACAATATAGTTAAACTAAAAAACGCTAGATAAACCGTCCAAAATTGAAAATTAAAAAACAGTTCACTAATAAATTGCTGATTTTGGGGTTACACTCATAACGAGTCATCGCTGATTCACTGCTCTGTGAAGGACAGAAGGGCAGCAATGCATTACTGCTTCAAATCTCTCTCCAGATTTTCAATTTCCACAATTGTTCTTGCTATCTTGCTTTCATCCTTCAGTTTGACTTCCACAGGTTTGAACCTTCTTTACATTTGACTTCTTGAACTCTCTGGTTCTTGTTTTCGATTAATTTTGTGATGATTAACACCTTCATATCAATCTTTAATGTGTTCTTCATCATAAATATTCATTTCCTAATCAATTTTGTGACGGAAATTCCTTCTATGAAAGTCTTCCTTATACAAAATTTAGGGCTTTGACCATGAACAGCTCTTGAGCCTTGTGTTTTTCTGGTTAATTTGCAGAAGGGTATAAAACACTTGATCCGAATGGAAACATCACAATCAAATGGGATATCATGAGTTGGACCCCTGATGGCTATGTTGTAAGTTCATAATCATCAATAATACCCATGAATTCAAGATCTTTGATGTTGCTAACTCGATTATRAACTCATATAAAAGATTATGATGGGGATTGGGTTKTTGTTCAGGCMGTGGTTACGATGTATAAYTTCCAGCAATACCGCCAGATTTCSSRTCCGGGKTGGACCTTAGGTTGGACCTGGGCTAAGAAAGAGGTGATATGGASCATGATGGGCAGTCAARCCACCGAKCAAGGAGATTGTTCRARATWTAAARGTGCAMYACCACATTGYTGCAAGAAAACTCCAWCGGTTGTSGATTTATTACCWGGAACCCCTTACAATCAGCAGATTGCAAATTGCTGTAAAGGAGGTGTTGTCGATTCATGGGATGCTAGTGCATTCCAGGTTACCGTTGGTACAGCCGGAACCACTAACAGAACGGTTAAACTACCGAWGAACTTCACCTTGCTTGCACCYGGCCCTGGCTATRCCTGTGGACCGGCTATAGTCGCTAAACCGACAAAGTTCGTTACTCCAGATGGAAGAAGAGTAACTCAAGCTATGAGTGAGTATATACTAAAATCAAACTCATGCATTATTGAACTAGAGGGAGGATCAATAAAGAGAACACAAGAACAATAAGAGCCAAATCACATGTGATTTTGCGCTAAAATCGCATAGGATTACTTTATTCACATATGATTTGGCCGTTCTTGTGGTTTTTTATTTGGTCATCATTCTCGTTTGAACCTGACTCTATATAAACTATATATATATATATATATATCAACTTTAAAAGATACTAATGCTCTAATCTTGTTTTGGCAGTGACTTGGAATGTTATATGTAGATATTCCCGAAATCTGGTTCAGAATACTCTCCCTTGATGAATTGTTGAGTATCTCTCTCTTCATTCTACAATGACTCGATCTTATAACGCGAGGACCGGCTTTGTGTCCCCGAATAGCGAGTTGTGGTCATAAAAGTTAACGAAGTTTGATAGAGAGTTATATGTTGTATTATGTGAGACTCTTATACGAGTATTTGATTATCTATTATCTATAATATATCACAAGAATAGTTAAATCACATATGATTTTGTACTGAAATCACACATGATTTTTCTTTCCTTAAATGTTAAGAACCGAGTTTTTGAAACATTTATTAATGTTCCTAAATATAAGGTCAACAAACTAAATAAACAACTGAATGTTGCAACTTAGGCCTAAAAAAGATTTCCAACTTAGAATTAGACGTAAATAAATAACAATGTACGCAATTTAGGAAATAACTGTTTAGCAAAATATGGAGTAACGATAAAGGAAATGACCAAATGAGATGATAAGTTATTGATCAATTGAGATAATTATGTTTTTACTTTTTAGATTTTAAAAGGTGTTGTTATCATGAATCATAATTAAGTGAGAATTGTTAAGTATTAAGAATTTTCAACTTTATTTGTAAATATTAATTGTAAAAGTAAATTATTATTATTAAGATATTAACGGGTCGGACCATTAATTTTAACAGTCAATCCGGATCTACCTATTTTTGGAAAATGATAATCCAAAGCCGCTAGGATATAGCAGGTCATCCCGCCTGTGAACAACTCTACTATTATTGTTATTGGTATGTGATGAGTTGTTGGCTATTTAATGAACTCATTGAGCTTTTAAACCATTACTAACATGCATTGTAAGAGCAAGAGAGTTGAGAATTCATAAAAGCAGATGGTCGATTTAAATCTTAACCATGGTTAGCAAATTACACACTCCATCATGCTTTCTTTTGAATGTTAAGCGAAATACCATTTTTCAATAAGATGCATCCAGGATTGTAACACATGTCATTGTAGTTTATATACATACATTTTGATCTATATGCATATAAAAAGAACCAAGAATGAGATATGATGAAGTTTACATGTTGTAAAGATAACCCCTTTCGTCCAGCACGGTAACAGGATGCAACGAGTTGGACATCAAGTAATCTGTGAATAAGACAATTACACGACAACACATTTCCATAATCATTAATAAATTTTGTCTATCAAATCATCTGGAACATCGGATTAACGGCATAAAAAATGGTAATTAGGATGCACAAATTATTAAAATTATTTATTTATTTTAATGTAATTTACTTTATATATTTAACAAATTTTACGTATTAATCAAAATCTTATAAAGGTATAAAAATTCATCAACCATTAAATTTAATAAAATAAATAATAATATTATACCAAAATTTGAATAATACGACAAAATCAATTTGATATGCTGGGTCACAAATGGATTTTTAAATGGGTTGAAAAAGAAGAGAGGACAATAGGTCCACGTGGTCGATAATGAGCTGGATACGCCTGTCTTTGAAACATTTAGAGTAGATTACACGTTTGGTCCTTGTTGTTGGCTTCTATTATCAACTCTTGTCCTTAAACCATATGTATTATATTGACGGTCTCCGTTCTTGATCTGTGGCCTCTGGTGAAAGGAAAGAGGGTTTGGTCGAGATCATCGATCTATACCCTTTTGGTGTCGAAGGCAGAAGAGAGATTGAGGAAAGAGCATCGAGATTGTCAGTGTAAGGGTGTCATGGAAGGGGTAAGAGAGGGAGTTCTCTCGGTGATTAATAAAACATATAATCGGAAATAATAATAACATTACATATTACTGGTTTTATTAGAAAATTAGAAGATAGGTAAAAAGACGAAATTGTCTTTAAGTCAATTGACTCAGAGGGACTAAATCGAAAACGAATTGAGAACCATAATGACCACCAGTGTAATAAATGAAATTCAGGGACGATAATTAGTACTAAGAGACAATCATAGGGACCAAAACCGTACTTTATTCAACTATTTATTACTGAGTGAATTACATTCATCCTAACAATTCTTATAGTATAGATTACTTCCTGATATTTGCAAAATGTTTTGGAAATCATCCATTTGTTTAGCGATTGTTATATTTTTGTCGAATGAAGAGCACTTTGATTAATTCACCATTTTATCTTATTTTCTATTGAAAAGATTAAAAATTAATTAACATCGACGCTACACATTTTTCATCCCTGGAGAACACCACCAACCCTTCCTTTGATGACACAATTGAACATCATTGAAAGCATCTCCAACGGTACCATCAAAGCTATGACAATAACACATGACACATACACCTCATCGCTACCGCCAATCACCATGCCATACCTGATGGAAAATCCATATCGGTCATCCTAACCCCCATTTCTGTCACCCCACACCTACAACCACCATATATCTCAATCTAAACGAAACTAGTTTAGACCTAACAATCCCCAAAACACAAATCCTCTTTCAACTGAATAAACGAGAGAGAGAGAGAGAGAGAGAGAGAGAGAGAGAGAGAGAGAGATAAAATGTATCACGATGGGTCGTTTCTAAAAGAGTCGAAATCATAAATTTTTAACAAATATCAAGGAGCAATATGTAATAAAAGAGTAATAGAAACGAATTTTGTTAAAATCAAAATACATGAAGGACTGAAGATGTAATTCAGTAATCCACCGACACAAACCAATTTAATCATCTCCAAATCACTGTCACAATAAATTTTATTCAAAATCAAATTATTTTTTATCTCTCTAAACCAACGAATGTTATTTTAATATTTTAGTTATTTTAAACGGAAAAATAAATATATTCTCCATCAAGGTCTTTGTCGGCAAGAGTTGCTTTTTATTCTCAATTTAACTAAAATTAAAAAAAAATACAAAAAATAATAACCTATTTTTATAAATTTTCTTATTATAAGATTCTATTTTTAATATTTAATCGGTCTTAATATAAATACATAACAACCTTTATGTTAATCATGTGATTTGATTTATAACATATGATTAATTTAAAGACTATTATTATTTTGTAAGTAATCCGTAAATGAAAAAGCTATTTCAACTAATTTGAAGATTATTATTTCGTTACATTAATTTCATGATATATAATTTATAGACATTTTTTTTATTGATATAAATAAATTTTTAAAGATTAATTTAATGGGATAAATTTCCTTTTAACACATTAAAAAGATCAAATAGTTTAATTTTAGATTGATATTCTTAATAATTGCTTTTAAAAGGATGCTACTTGTTCCAAGAAAAGAGAAGATTTGATGCACAAGATAGATAATTTTCACCTAACGAACGCAATATAAAAAGAGGTGGGTAATTGAGTATAGACTTTTTCTTTTAATAACGACCATCGCTGCCTCACTGCTTTCTCAAGGAGAGAAGGTTCTCTCCCACATCTCTCTCTCTCTCACACACACACACACACACACATACATAACACACTCGTTCAAGAAAACGGGCTACAATTGGATCTGGCAAATCTTGAAAGCAAGTGATGGATTACTACTTCAGATCTCTGACCAGATTTTCAATTTCTACCATTGTTCTTGCTATCTTGCTTTCTTCATTCAGTTTCACTTCCACAGGTTTGGACTTTCTTTACGTTTGAGTTCTTGAAGTTTCTAGTTCTTGTTTTTAATCAATTTGGTTTATGGGTGTTGCTTAATATGAAGATTTGGCCTTTGTTTGATAAAGATTTGTACTTCAGTTGCTCAGTTGACTGATGGGTGTGGGAGGTTTTACAGAGGCTTGTTTGGGGGAAGTTGGTTTGTGGGTCGTTTATTATATTAGCTTCTAGGTTTTGGAGAATAAGAAAGATTCGACTTTCTTGATCAAGATTTCTACTGAATGACTAGTTTCAGAGATTTCAATTATGAATCAAGTTTGTGTTAAGTTGGTACATTGGATGCTGGAAATTCGTTTAATATATGCAAAATGATTCGAGATCTCATTTCCTTCAATGATTCGGTCATTGTTCTTGGGGGTCTGTGCTATGCATATTGCTTTCTAGATCAAGATCAATAAATCTTTGTTGAAATTAATATTATGCTAAACCCAATTTAGATGTTTGATGAACTTGATATCACTGAACAAAAACACAATCTCTTCAAGTAAAGATGTGTTATTCAACATAGAAGATTGACTTAATTACATAAGTTTTCAATGAACGGAATCGTTCTTTGTTCATATTACAAGTAAATTACTGTATATGGATGGTATTTATTGGTTCACAATGATTTGGATGATGTGCGCTGCTTCCCCCTTTTACGAGTTATGAACAACTCTTGAGCCTTTTTTTTTCTTGTTAATTTGCAGAAGCCTATGATGCACTTGACCCAAATGGAAACATCACAATCAAATGGGATATCATTAGTTGGACCCCTGATGGCTATGTTGTAAGTTCATATCACCAATATTACACATGGATTCAAGATCTTTGATGTTGCTAACTCGATTACTCATAGAAAAGATCATGATGGGCATTGTATTTTTGTTCAGGCCGTGGTTACAATGTATAACTTCCAGCAATATCGCCACATTTCCCCTCCGGGGTGGACCTTAGGTTGGACCTGGGCTAAGAAAGAGGTGATATGGAGCATGATGGGCAGTCAAACCACCGAGCAAGGAGATTGTTCAAAATATAAAAGTGCACCACCACATTGCTGCAAGAAAACTCCAACGGTTGTGGATTTATTACCAGGAACCCCTTACAATCAGCAGATTGCGAATTGCTGTAAGGGAGGTGTTATCAATTCATGGGCCCAAGATCCCAACAATTATGCTAGTTCATTCCAGGTTAGTGTTGGTGCCGCTGGAACCACTAATAAAACGGTCAAACCACCCAAGAACTTCACCTTGCTGGCACCCGGTCCTGGCTATACCTGTGGACCAGCTGTAGTTGGTAAACCAACAAAGTTTATTACTGCAGATGGAAGAAGAGTAACTCAAGCTATGAGTGAGTATGCCAAAATCAAACTCATACATTATTGAACTATATATTATCACAGGTTTACAAGATTTTAATGCCTTAATCCTGTTTTGGCAGTGACTTGGAATGTTACATGTACATATTCACAATTTCTGGCTCAAAAAACTCCCACTTGTTGTGTATCCCTCTCTTCTTTCTACAATGACACAATCGTACCCTGCCCAACGTGCACCTGTGGATGCCAAAACAACATCACTCACCCGGGAAGTTGTGTGAAGTAAGGTTTTTTATTTTGGGTATTTGGGTAACAATCAGATGATGCAAATCTTGATGTTTTCTAACCCATTTTTACCAACTGTTTTTGCAGTCCAAATTCGCCATATCTAGCTTCGGTTGTTAATGGTCCTGGTAAGAGCACCTTGACACCCCTGGTTCAATGCACGAAACATATGTGCCCTATTCGAGTTCACTGGCATGTGAAGCTTAATTACAAGGATTACTGGCGCGTGAAGGTCACCATTACAAATTTTAACTACCGGATGAATTACTCCCAGTGGAATTTGGTCGTCCAACATCCCAACTTCGACAATCTCACTCAAATTTTCAGCTTTAACTACAAACCATTGACTCCTTATTCTACTATAAGTAAGTCCACTTCCATACCCATCATTTTCTTGATCCATTTCATCTATAAACTGATGTCCTAATGATGATTTGGTGCTTATTTCTGTAAATCATTACAGATGATACTGCTATGCTATGGGGTGTAAAATTCTACAACGATTTTTTGAATCAAGCTGGACCATTGGGGAATGTTCAATCAGAGCTACTCTTCCGTAAAGACAAATCAACCTTCACATTCGAAAAGGGTTGGGCTTTTCCACGAAGAATCTATTTTAATGGTGATAATTGTGTGATGCCACCACCTGATGCATACCCATATCTCCCAAATGCCAGCGCTCGGCTAAGCTTATCTTTACTCACTCTATTGGCGTCTTTGGCCTTTTTCTTTGTGTTTGTTTGATGATCAAGTTAGCACTTGAAGATTTTTCGCATGTGGGGTGTCTGGTGCGCACTTCATCTTAAACAAGAAAAGTTTAAGTGTGTAATGTGGGTGAATTCACCTGGTTTTTCATTGTTGCTTTACATGTATTGTTTTGTAGAATAGTTGAAGTTATAGTGTTGTATAATTAAAAACCTACAAGTGATAATTTAAAGCCGATTTTGGTTCTGTTTCCTCTGTTTTCTGCTTGTATTTCTTCAAAGACATTATTCTCCAGAAAAAGTTATATACCTCAAACATTAACAAGTGAACCCAAATTCAAATTCAAATCTTGAATCTCATGCTTCAAAAATATATCCAAATTCAACTGTTGAAGCATGAATCTACATTTCGGCAGCTTACGAATCAATAACCACCACATCCAAACCTTGAATCTCATGCCTCAAAAACAGTAGTTGAAGTTGGTGATCTTGATGTGAATGCTGCTTACTGTTTTGAATCAATAGATATTTGGTAGAATTATGAATCAAGAAACATAAGAATCCATGGGAAGGGAAGTTAGAAATGTTGGTGATTTGCTCCCACATCGGTTTGTGGTGGATGTTGTAACCACTTTATAAGGATATTTTGTAGACCTTCAATCGCCGGGCTTGGTAGCGCTTGCCTATAACCCAGTGGGGGCATGAAAGTGAGTTGGACCGTGAGTTGGTCCAGTAGGTTGGGCTTGGAGTTGCTTTGTCTGGCTTGCCCGTTCCAAGTTGAGAGTTGGTTCATGTGGCTTTAGCGAAGGCTTTGGTCACTTCTACCTTAGAGAAGGAGGCACTGCGTTAGACTGGCTTTACAGGGCTGCGATAACTCTTCGCTCCCGACAGTGGAAGGATCACAAGCTTGGGCTCTCCTGGTCCAGTTTGCCTGCTGGTCTCTCTCTAAGGGACACTCACTTTTTCTCCTTTTCAATAAAAATCAATAGATTCGTTTCACATTCCTTGATTGCGGTTATATGTCGAGTTCAGTTGAAGCTGAAAACATGGAGGACGTCCGTATGAAGAATGGTGAGTAGAATTCTGGGCATGAAAATTGAAATCATAGTTTATTTTTAATGATACTAAAATAAAAACTTTTATGTTTTTTCAGTTTTTATTTTATATACTTTTTTATAACATAAAATACAATAAATAAAGTTTAAAAAATAAATGAAATGTAAAAAAGGGAGCATATTTGATGTTTATAGGAATAAGTTATGTTTTATTTTAAAGTTATATTTGTATAATATAAATCTGTTCCACTTGGGAATGAAATGGAACACGTCTGTTACACTTTGTTTCACTCTACTCTTCTCTATTCCATATAAAAGTTTTATCAAACGTGGATTGGTGATTTATGTTATGTTTTGATGTTTTGTCATGTCCGTCAAACATATCAAATGCACCCATAAAGTATGTTTTCCATTTTTAGACAATGTGCATGAAATAGCAAACAATTTTTATAAATCTTTTTATTATAGCATTGTGCTTTCTTATTCTTTTTCTTATTAAATTTTTTTTTATTAAGATATTTTAGGGATCATTTGTCAGTTGTTGAATGGTTTGATACAGAATGATTAAGTGATCAGAAATTAAAATATAATTATTTGTTATTACAATAAGATTAGGACGTTGAATGGTTAAGGAAGACTCATAATACAAAATCATTTAAAGAGTTTTAGAACCAGAAAAAGAAATTTTTTTTTATCAAATTAAATAACAAAAATAATTCTCTTATACGAAGAGAAGGTAATGCAATAAAAGCGGGAAAAAAAGGCAATTACTTTGACCCGATCTCATCCGTTACATCCTCCGCCACCGTCGTTATCTCACGTCCTCCGATCCCCCTTATTAACATTCATACCCATTATGCTTCTTTTTCCCCTGTTTTTCTTTCTCTCATGGCGACCTCCAATCCTCCTCTCAAAGATGACCTCGATATCGTCATACCCACCATCAGAAACCTCGATTTTCTTGAAATGTGGAGGCCCTTCTTCCAACCCTATCATTTGATCATCGTTCAAGATGGCGATCCTTCCAAAACCATCAAGGTCCCCAGTGGTTTCAGTTACGATCTCTACAATCGTAACGACATTAACAAGATTTTGGGTCCTAAGGCTTCTTGCATCTCTTTCAAGGATTCCGCTTGTCGTTGCTTTGGTTACATGGTTTCCAAGAAGAAGTATATCTTCACCATTGATGATGACTGCTTTGTAAGTTGTTCCATTTCTTGACGTAAACATCGTGTCCTCTAACTGTTTGATGTTTTGCTTCACATGGGGTTTTGTTTTCTTAACATGAAAATCTTGATCTTAATTTTTGGAATTTGTTCTGTAGGTTGCTAAAGATCCATCTGGGAAAGATATAGATGCACTTTCACAGCACATTAGGAACCTTCTTCACCCAGCCACACCCTATTTCTTTAATACCCTTTATGACCCTTTCTCCGATGGTGCTGATTTCGTCCGTGGCTACCCTTTCAGCCTTCGCGAGGGTATCCCCACCGCGGTTTCTCATGGCCTGTGGCTCAACATTCCAGATTATGATGCCCCAACTCAGCTTGTCAAGCCTCGCGAAAGAAACACTAGGTAGTAAAAGATACTTATATATTTGCATATAGTTTGGAGGTTTTAGTTTTGCATGGTGCATGGATAATAATTTGGGTTCATTCAATTCTCAGGTATGTGGATGCAGTTATGACAATTCCAAAGGGAACTCTGTTCCCAATGTGTGGAATGAACCTCGCGTTCGACCGTAACATGATTGGTCCAGCCATGTACTTCGGGCTCATGGGTGATGGTCAACCTATTGGTCGCTATGACGACATGTGGGCTGGTTGGTGTGTTAAGGTTGTTACCTTATCATAAATTCTACTTCTTTAACGATGCTTGGAGAAAAGAACCCATTTTAAGACTGAAAGTCGGTTGTTTTTCATAGGTGATATGTGACCATTTGGGGCTAGGGATCAAGACAGGATTGCCATACATATGGCACAGCAAAGCCAGCAACCCATTTGTGAATTTGAAGAAAGAGTACAAAGGTATCTTTTGGCAAGAGGAGATCATCCCATTCTTCCAAGCCCTCAGTCTGCCAAAAGAAAGCACCACGGTTCAGGCATGTTACATCGAAATGGCGAAGCAGGTTAAGGATAAACTGGGCAAAATAGATCCTTACTTTGTGAAGCTTGGGGACGCCATGGTTACATGGATTGAAGCTTGGGATGAGCTCAATCTCAAGGACTCCAAGAAGCCAAATGGCAAATGAAAGTGTGTGTTTAGGCTCTTTTTGTGTTGTTTTGCGGTAGATGTGAGTGTGAGCATTCAATATTCTTTTTCAACCATTTTCTGTGATTTCAGATTTTGTTTTAAGTCACTTATTGCAGACATTTAAGCTCTCTTTTAGTATTGGTTTCATTTGGCAATCACAGTGATAATAAAATAATAGTCCCATTTTCACTTTTGTTATTCAAGTTCTTGTTTTCATGTTTGATGATTGAACTTTGAAGAATGTTTATCTTCAATTCCAATGTCATTGCTTGAATATAAAAATCTTCAATTTTCTTCCCAAATTTCAGTTCATTGTGAGTTTGATTTGGATGCCAAAGTTTGGTATTTGTCAAATCAACGAACTTTGCTAGAGATTATTCCTGGGCTTTTGCAGAATCAACGGAATTAATCTACGGTTTGGTTTTATAGGCTGCATCATCTACCGATGCCGGCAACTGTTGGAATTAATGTATAATTAGATTTGTATTTTAGTATATTATTAAAATAAAGTGTGTCAAAATCAGTTATTATGGTAGTTATAGGGAGTTAAGCGTGTACTGTCACATCCCTTGATAGGTGTCGATTCATGCGTTATAACTAGGTGTCGATTCATGTGTTATAACTAGGTGTCGATTCGTGCGTTATAAATAGGTGTGTATATGTACTTTGTAAAAGTATCATCTTCTACAATATATATAGATATTTACTGCATTATATACACACCCATATGCACACTTCTTGCAATTCTAAAATGGTTTCATATGATCAAAGTTCTCAAGTGAAAGCTGCCGATAACATAAACTACGATCGGGTTTCTGTGGATGAAAATAGAATAGCAACAAGTGAAAACAATGCAGAAAAGATATATGTTTTATAAAAACAGTGAAACCCAACCTATATATATATGTTGAAAAATGAAAATTGTTTAATTTTGATTTTCCCCTATTTATTAAAAAATACATACATGTTGAAAAATGAAAATTGTAACAGGAGATTATTGAAGTTCTTATAATTGTGTATGAATATCCATTGCTTGTACTTATTCGTCTGATTTTGGATAGATAAAAATATTCAAATATATTATAGAATTCATGTTTCCAATGAATCGGAAACAAAATACTAAAGTTTTATGTGTGTGATCCTACAAATTGATTCAAATCCCTCCGTAAAATCCAAATTCCTCAAAAACAATACTCCACACCAAACGTTGAATGCATTTAGCATCGACTAATAAGAATACAAAAGTCATATTTGAATGTATGAATTCAACCAACTCATCCCTAAGTTGACCAAGCACTTGTAATAAAGACCAAAAATCTTACTTGATAAGAAAGTATAGTAACCCGGTTAGCATTTATAAATAAAAGACACTTACCCACAATTCATTTTGACGACTATAAATGTTACACAACAAGTGAGGATGACAGCTTTCACCCAATAAGCCCTTACTGAGTAAACACGGCGCTTGATACCATACTATACAAAAGTCGAACAATAATAATGCAGGTTTGGCATTTAAATGTTTTAGTATTTAGTATGATTGTCCAATGTTTTCGGCACCAATCTTTAATATATGTAATGATATTTTCATGAAGATTATAAGAGACAGCAGACTATTAGATTAAAAGGAAGCAAAGATTGCTGTTGTTATCTGATGAATTCATTAACATATCAGCAGGAGTACAGATTCAAACCAAAAAATATGATTCAAGTAAAAACAACAGATAACAATATTTCTTCTGTGTGGACTTCTGGAACTTGCTGAATGCTGATTACAAAATGAACAAAAAATCTCAACGTATCATCAACCCTTGCAACAAGGGAAACCCAACCTTTATATGTTCTATACATTTTGTAGAACATGTATTTTCAAAACAAACTCTACAAAAGACTCTGAAATCTAATTCTAATATACCATCCTCTCTAACAGGAAGAAAGTGCTACTGCTAGTGCTAGTGCTAGTGCTAGTGATGCTTATGATTTCTTGAAGCGGCTTCCATGTCTCGTAACAGATACGGTATCAACAGCTCCGGTGGCTCCTCCAACATCATGCATTCCTCCCATTGCCTTCCGCCTAGTTTCGCCAACTGATCTGCACAATGGTTGCCATCTCTTTTTGTATGAATCATGCTGCACCTTTGTTCCCACATTAATCGCTTAATGGCCTCGATCACAGATTTCAGGGGATGATSGTCATCCAGTTCTCTAGCCGTAAGCCGCACAGCAGCGAGGCAGTCGGTTTCGATCAACAAGAATGACAGATTCATTTCCTTGATTAAACACAAGCCATTGAATATGGCCCAAAGTTCAGCCTGGAGATGTAAGGAATCAATTTTCCTTGCTTGATTTTTATTGAGAGATATATCATATATATATACAAGCATAAGCATCAATTACGCCTAAACATAAGCCTACACTTATTGACTTACTATAATACAAATTATACACAAAATACATCCTAAA